TTTACATCACTAACATGGGAGCCCCCACTGTACCAGAGTAGGCTTAGTATTTTTTGGTACAAGATTCATGTAACAGCTTTTGATACAAAATTCAATTTCTGGAGTCACAAACCTCTGTTAGAAACTGACATACGGTTTTTAGCAGAATCCGATTTTCTGGTGGAAGCATCTCCACAATCTCGATTATTCCGCCAAGTTTATTATCTTTCGGCAATTCTAAATGAAAAAAAAAAAAATGATAAATAATAATAATGATGATGATGGTAATAATAACGATAATAATAATGATGATGATAATAATAACGATAATAATAATAATGACAACAATAATAATAACAATGGTAATAATAATAACAATAATAATAATAATAACAGCAATATGTGATTTTCGAGACATTAGTTGCCAGCAGGTTGACTACCACGCGAAAAAACACCGGTCAAAGGATGGGAAAAGTTGCCAGCTGCAAAGTTCGAGAAACAGTCTGCAGTTATACCTCGTCAAAAAAGAGTCAAAATAATCTGAAAATGACCGGAAAAAAACAAAAAATTCACGGAAATGCCTTGACCCATAGATCTTAACATGCAAAAACAGCAAAAATCATACCAGAAAGTGCAGCAAGATTGGGATAAAGTGCATTTGTTGTAACGGGTTCGCCAAGCGAACGAAGAAATGTTTTCAACAAAACGGATGCATCGATGGAGGCCTGTTGCAAATTATCCTTGTATGGTTCGTCATTCAGGAAATCTATTCGTTCGCCTGAAACATGTGAAATTTGGATGTTAATCGGCTCAGTGCTATGGCAGATAGCGCTATTCTTAAACTAAAAATTGGGAAAACCAATCCCTCTACAACTCGGTCACTCATTTTTCGATCGTAATTCGATATCCACACACGCCAAAGAGTCAAATCCGCCATCTGCTTCCTTCTAAGCAAATCTCCGAAGGAGCCATTGACAAAGTCCTGCTAGAGGATCATATTCTTTACAGCGTGCTAGCAGTTGAGCTATCTCTCTTTCAAGAATGAATTTATGGAAGAATTTGATAACTGTCAAATGGATCGTTTTCTGGTAAACTTGCGGTACTACTTCAACCACAGGATGGTGTCTTTGGAAATCAGAAAATTAGCTCCAGGCAAAAGCACATCTGCTTTCACTGGTGATGGTCGTTGCCGAACAACGTAAAAGGATCGCTAACAGTTGAGATGACAGAAGGAAAAGAGGAAGTGTAGACATAGGCGGATCCAGGACGTACTCCAGGAGGAGAAGGAGGGAGCAACGGGGAGAAGGGCTGGAGAAGAGATGGGACAGCCCCATTCTACCTTAGAACTATGCAAAAACTAGGAACAGAGTTGTAACACTGCTAGTTAGAGTTACTTTAGTTTAGAGTTACTTTAGGCCTCAGTTTACTTCAGTTTTAGCTTTAGACCCGGGCTTTTGCAACACTAGTACCTGTGCTGTTTGGCGGCTCCTGGATCCGCTTATGAATGTAGACAATTCAGCATCTGCCCCTGGGAAAGAAAGAAGCGCCATCACCAGCAGGTTATCCACTAGGTGATGGCAGTCGTCAACATCTCAATCATGAAAAGGATATTAGCTGAACTGATGGTGTGAAAGTGCGCGAAAACAAAACGCCAGCTGGAAAGTTAGTAAAACCAATGTAAAATATGATTTTCGACGATCTAAAATCAGTCTGATCAAAGTATCAGTTTTAGATTCCCCGACATTTATGACCAAGATCAGGTTTAAGGAATTATTACAATTAGTTTCAGGAATCATGATTTTCGACGATCTAAGAGTTTAAAAGCGTACCCATATTGATTCGTTCTTGAAGCCGCTTGATGGAATTAACTTCAGCGGAACGTCGAAAAAGTCCAGCAACATTCAGTGAATTCTCACGTAAAAACGCAATGAGATCAGTGACCACTGGAGGTATATCACAGTCCGGATTATGCGATAAAATGCTGCAAAAAAAAAACAACACGTTTCTTAAAAAAGGCATATATGGATATCGAGAACCACTAATCACGCATCAATGTGATACTAGCTAGAGATGATACATTTACATTAATTATGAGTGGAAAAATTGCCATTTACCGCAACAATTGTGAAAAATATGATAAAACCAAAACTTGAACAGAATACTAATTACCACTCCTATAAAATGCTGCGCCTGCGACAGTAACTCCAATCGTTCTAATATATTCAGGCATATAAAAAGCACTGATAAGGCATCAGGTGACAAGAATGACAGACAACAGATGGACGAAATGCGTAAACGACTGGACATCTACGACACGTCAAAAGAAAGGCTGTAAGTTCGACGAGGTGCCTAGCCGATTTGCTAACTCGAATGTACAGGGTGCAACTGTGAATGTGAGGAGCCCAAGAATGAATTCGATGGTATTGTTCTCGGGTCTATCACCAATGGAGGATGTCCCGACTACACAAACCGGAGGTGAATTAAGTAGTTAAGTAGAAACAAATGTAATATGAATATCTTATGGAGTTATGAAAAAGGTTGTAACTAAAAGGAAAGTAATAATTAAAACTAAAAGCAAAAGTTGAACTGGAATGTTCCGGTCCATTAAGTCGCATACATCCACATTCAGTGCTGCAACTGGACAACTCGTCAGTGTGGCGGTTACAGCAGAAAAAGTATTAGAAACATGCAGTATGGTGCAGCCAAAGAAAGGAGAGAAAAAATAAAGTAAAAAAATAAAGCCATTGCGGCCCATGAACGAAAACATGCCCTAGAAGAGACTGTGATGCTTAAGAAACACTAAGGACATTTTGCGACGGCCAAAGCCTTCCTATCGTAATTCTATGGAGAGGCGCGAATTCCTGGTCACATCAGAAGATGAAAGGATCGCTAATATGTTACAAATAATAAGATCGCCAGCAAATTTACCAAAACATGATGGCAATATAAGTCAAAAAAAAACTCAAAAATTCACCGAATGCATAATTTGGGAACCAAATTATGAATTAACAATTGTTCCAGGCATTCTAAATTTTAGCGAGAGCCATCGCTCATTGTGGTTTCATCACCGTCAAAGTGGTGTAAATTTGAAGCAAGAACTAAAACGACTTACAACTGCAGTGAGACATTGAATTGCTGTGTTGGACGAGGCGCTGGACATAGAGTTCTTGTTGATGTGGATTTATTCACCGTAATTCGTGAAGCCAGCAAAAGTGATGAATCATGGCTGAAATGCAACAACGCTTTTTTAAAATCGCTAATACCAAGACTTTTGCTTGGACAATTGGAGGGGTATCCCATGTTAGTGATTTTACTTAAATAGCTTTTATGTGCCGCTCCGGGCCTTACGATCCTGAGTCGTTTATATGCGCAAATAATAGAAACTGAAGGTAAAGTATGAAATTTTATAATTCGAAATTTTTTATGCTTTCAACAATGAAATTTTTTACATTGAAGTTTATGATTTTTTTGGTTTTATCTGAAAACTGAGAAATCAAAAACTCTTTTTTTTATTCTTACTAGAAAAATGCAATAAATTTCAAAAAAAGTGTAAAAAAATCTTTACTAAATTGCATAAAATTTTTTCGTCTTCGCCCAGAAACGGAAAATCCTTCCAAGTAAAAAATTACCCAAAGTGGCACACATACAACGAACAGGCAGTGGGTACCAACTGGTTCTGTGCATCCCAAGGTATCGAAGAGCTTGGCATAGCTGCGCTAAAAATATGGGGGCATTCCAGTGGCATTAACTTTAAATCCCATCATTGACTACTTAGGCAATTTTTGGTATTCTCTGTAATTTAAATGATAAAAAAACAAACTCTTTGATAGGTTGAGGAAGATTGAGTTGTTCCACACGTAGCGCTGAATTTAGTTCGTGTAAATAATCGACGTAGTGAATTTTTCGTTCGAATTTGATCGAGATAAACGGCTTGAAAATACTCCATACAAAGCGTATGAATCGCGTCGGATGCACCAAATATAAAGCTTTCAAATTTTTCTTGTACCTGCAAAAAAATTAGGTTGTAAAA